TATATATATATATATATATATATATATATATATATATATATATATATATATATATATATATATATATATATATATATATATATATATATATATATATATATATCACAAATTATCCACGATGTAAGCGTGGCGTCTTAAGACGAGATTTTTAAGCGTTACAGCCGCCGCTCCGGCCAATCTCGGTCGCCTTCGTTCCCGGGGCTTTGCTGCTTGAGCAAATGGATTTGGCTTCCGCGGGAACGGCAGCAGCTCAGGCGTGGCTGCTCACTCCACCGGTCGACCGCTCCCGCTTCCCAAGGAATCTTTTCGGTGTTTGCTCCCGGTCTCTCCTTCCTCCACCGAAGTTGTGGTTCCTCTCACGGCACCCTGAAAGAGGAGTCTCCCTCATCAGCCGCGCGAAGAGGAGGGGCTCCGCTTCCCAGCGACCCCCACCAAAGCAGGCCACACTTGAGGAAGAAGAAGAAGAAGAAGAAGAAGAAGTCGATGAAGAACGAGTAGTAGTGGCGGAAGAAGGGTTGGAAGTCGAATTTTCCGATGACCTTGTAGAGGGTAAGAAGTCTATCCCTGTAATTTCTTTTCCTCATTTCATATTTATCTTTCCTTTTTCTTTTTGTTTAATTCATTATGTTGTTGATTCGTTGATAATAAATGAGCCATCAAGTCCCCCTTTTTCTGTTATTGTTCTTTGTTTTCAGTTTTCCTTGCTGCGTATTTTGTTCGATATGCTGGAAATTGGTTTTGCATTCCTTTTGCATAATGCGTCGATTTTGGCATAATTGGTTTTTGTTTTCACTTTGGCATAATGCGTGAATAGGTATGAGGATCTGGAATCATGTTCACCAACACTTGCTTCGCATTAGTTAGTTGGTGCTAGACCATGGGTAGTGTTATCTAGATGTTGATTACTTGTTTGTGCACTTTAGTGAATCCTATCACATCTGAAGTGTTTTCTTTCGACTCTTAGAACGCTTTAGTATCTGCATTTGGATGAAATTGCGCAGACCCTCTTGTGTGAAATGAGAAAACCTTGTCGCATGACTGAGACAGTGTTAAAGAACTTGTTGATGGCAAGAAAAATGCAATGGATCATGAGTACCGGCTATTAATGAAGGCTTGAGAATGGATTTACAAACTAGTAGACACTTCTTGAAATAAGCACTAGGGAAACTCAAGAGTTTACTTTTGCCAAATGTTTGAACCTTCTTATGCTTCAGTGTGTAGAATGTGAGTTCAGGAAATGAATGACAGTAAAAGATTCACGGGCAGTAAGTAATATCCCCTGTAATGAGAAGGAAGTGTCTCTATTTAGTCTATGGTTCTGATATTACACTTTAATTTCTGAGTCCTGGCTTTCTACGTTTTGAATGTCCTATGTTCTACATATAATATCTTTCTTCACTATTATTTCAGATTACTTAGGCACCCTCTTTGTTGCATTCACCAACAAGGGATGTTACTGACTCAGCTAATACTTGAGCTGACTCGATGTCCCTGATCCATCTTGTTTGCCACTTGTTCACAATTATTGAAGTTTCTATGTTTTTATCTGTCTTTTACCTCAGAATCCTGATATCTGCAAACCTAGATCTCACTCAAATGGTTTCCTTACTAAAAAATTTAGAAATGGTTTGCAGCTAGATCAATCATGATCGAGGTTTTAATAGTTTTTGTACAATGTACATGATGTATGTTGTAAGCTAAAACTTCATTTGGAACATAATAAGACATTTGATTTTGGCATGGGATAAAGAGTTACAATATTTTATTCTAATTCTTGCTTGTATCTGATATCTTAATGTCTAAAATTTAGTTCTCTTTGGAACTGCTGAAACTCAAGCAAGTGTTTTGCAGTGGCCTTTACATCAGACTCAAGTTATAAAGTTATCTAGTTTTACAAATTTTATAAAATGCATATGCTTTTATTATCATCCACAGGTATCAATTTAGTCTCCTCGTCATTTTTTTCTCTTGATCATCGCTTAAGCATATTTCTCCAATCCCCACAACCATAGTTGCTTGTTCTGGAAATTCTCTTGTTTCTTTTTGCCCCTCGTGTCTCATCATGTATGTCTTGGTGTAGTGAGTTACCATGCACTAGAAGTTCAACGTAGCTGACATGAACTTTTTCTCATGCAATTCCATAATATTGAAGCTTTTCTCCTACATAGTGTGATAAAAGAAGAAATCTGTATGCCAAAGGAAAGCAACTGGACCTGTTGATTGGCTAAATAAGGAAATCCATTCTGAGTTTGTTGTTCCTGCATTGTGGAAGATTTTGCAGATGCCCAACCCTTCGATGTGCAAAAATAAACCTCTTCAAATAGTTGAACAGTTCCATCTGGAAACTGCATGCTTGTTTAAAAAAGGCTATGTTTTTTTATGCTTTGTGTAATTTGGTCCATTTTTCTGACAGAAGGCCCTATAAAATTTCAAGTTTATTTCTGCTTTATTTAAGCCTTTTTCTCTATATGATGCATGGTCCTGTCTTTGTAAGTTTTTCCCTGTCTAACCTAATAACCTTTATGCGCATGTGCAACTATGTGGAGATAGTGATGGAAGATGATGACAACTTTGAAGATGAATTAGAGGAAAATGACTTTGAGGAAGAAGAAGCAAATCTCTTTGTAAGCTTCTTATCTATCAAGTTGCTTATTTAAAGGTACCTATGTACACTCAATAAAACTATATAAATGAGTCTTAATTGCTAATTATTTTAGCCTTTTGGAGGTTGGAGATGGTGGTGCAGGAGGTGGAATATCTCTTGCTGGTATGTGGTGGGACAAAGAAGCATTGGCTCTTGCAGAAGAAGTTTCAATGTCATTTGATGGTGATTTGAAGATATATGCTTTTAAAACTACTGCTAATTCAACCATACGTGTGCGGATTGAAAAGATTTCTACCAAGTAAGTACAGATTTAAATAACTTCCACATTGTTGCTTCTCAATGTCAAATTACTTCCACACAAGTGAGGAACCAATGAGGCCATGATCTTTATGTACCTTGGGGTGGTAGCATTTGGAAAGTGAAACATGTGTTGCACTATATCAGTTCTCATTGATAATTATCCTCATGTCTTACCTGATTAAACCATGAACTGTAACATCCCATTAGTCCCACATTGAAAGTGGGCAGGACTAAGATTGACTTATAAGGGTCTGATGAGTGTACTACTATCAACTTCAGCTTAAGCATTTTGGTCAGTGGTTTAGACTAAACGAAGTTGATAGGCCAGTTAGCCCATCAAGCCCGAGTCATTATATTTGGTATTAGAGCCGACCTAGCATTTGGGCATAGTGAGGGGGCTCGAGTAGGAAAGGGCTACCCGTAGACGGAGTCAGAGGACTTGTCACAGCGTGAAGCCACCACTGAGCTGCGCCTCACATGCACTATGCTAGGGCCTGATCTGGATTATGTTGGGGCTTGATGAGGACGTCAAGCCTTTGAGTGGGGGTGATTGTAACATCCCATTAGTCCCACATCGAAAGTGGGCAAGACTAAGATTGACTTATAAGGGTCTGATGAGTGTACTACTATCAACTTCAGCTTAAGCATTTTGGTCAGTGGTTTAGACTAAACGAAGTTGATAGGTCAGTTAGCCCATCAGGCCCGAGTCATTATATGAACAGCCAGTACTTCTTTTTCTACTGAGATGGATATTTGAATAGACTAGAACATTCAACAAAATTATGGAATAAATGGGAGAAAAATCACATGCCAGGCCATTTGCCTGTTCAAAAGCACTCAAGAGTCTGATAGATCTAAGACATGACCAAGTTGTGTGATCTAAATGTTGTTAAGAAATCAATCATAATTGTTTCTCCATTTTTAAGGTCAAATTCTGTGGATAACTGCTAGATGCAACTCAACACAAAGTAGGGACATTTCTTCCTAACATGTATCAGTACTAAATTCTCACGTGATGAAAAAGTAAAAGTTCCCAAGTGGAAATTAATACTATTTGTGACTCTCTTTTAGGATCCTATAGGCAAAAACTTGGAGGATAGTAGTTATTCCCAGTAGGATCATACAAAGATCATTAACTTGTTCAGCAACATTAACCAAGATAATTGAAATTCTGTTCAGCAAAATGAACCAAGATAATTGAATTTCTGTTAGTGTTGGCTCTGAAAATGTAATATCTGTTGAATGATCTGTGCTAACGGACTCCTTGCTTCTGAGCTCTGAAGCATTTGACAGTACTTATACCGAAATATGTAGGTATATTTTGTTTCACATTTTTCTGATACATAATATAGTGCTTCATGCAACTACTTTTTACTGGCATCATGCACCCTATCAAATTGGTCTTCCAATAAACAATAAAAATCGAACTTCCCTGAGTATCAGATGAATTCATATTTTCTCTGCTTGATATCATGCTGAACGGATAGTGCCATATTGATGGTTTGCTGATGCAGTCCTGTGTTTTAGGTATGGCTCTCCAAGTATTGATGATATCGAAGCCTTCTCCAAAGCCTATCGCTCCCGCTTAGATGAAGCTGAACTCGCTGAAAGAATACCAGATAACATTAGTTTAGAGGTACTTAATTCGTAGTTCATTTCTTTTTGGTATTTATTCCAAACCTGGTTTCCTTTTAACAATAAAAGCTATCTTAATAGCTGATTTTAAGCATTTATTGATGATTTAGCCTTTTGATCTCATTTTAGGTCTCATCCCCTGGTCTTGAAAGGGTTGTTCGCATCCCAGATGAGCTTGAGCGGTTCAAGGACCGACCCATGTATGTGAAGTATATCAGTGATGGCGCTGCAAGTGCTTCCCCGCAAGAGAGTGATGGTGTGTTTAAGCTTATATCCTATGATATGGAATTATGCCAGTGCACTTGGGGTTTAGCAGATGTGAAGATAAATAGGCAGAAGGCAGGGAAAGGAAGACCTCTAAGCAAGAAACAAAGAGAATGGCGGCTGCAGACGCCATTCGAGTCCTTGTGTCTGGTCCGACTACATTCTGACTGCTGAGATGTGCCTCAGTGTCATCAGTCATGAGAACATGTATCGATGAATCTGCCTTTCTTACTCAAGAGTGCTTCGGAACCAGCAGTTACTAAAGCAGGAATCAACTTATAAAACTGCTAAAGAGAAGACAATAGCATGGTTATGGTTTTATCAGACTAGTGATCGAGTAGCATTTAGTTTTTTGTCAGACAAATTTTCAAAGTGAGATTTATTCTGAAGATTTTATGGTGAGTAGATGCGTCATAATGTTCGTAAAAAGAAAAGAATCTCAAATTCTGCTTTTATGTCAATTGATATTGCCAATAACAAGTGTGAAATGGTAGAGAGTATATATTCAAGTCCTAATATTTTGAGGTTTTTTTTCTCATTTCCCAGGACTTTACGAACTGCGGGCTGCAGAATCCCTGAGAATATGCACTATAGCGCCTCGTAAAATCGATCCTTTACCAACCTAGCAGCTCATGTGGTTGGAGAACGAGCCATCTTAGTACGACAGATGCTTGTCCTACAGAGCATCTTCTCTAATATTAGGTGACTATTATTCTCCATTGATACAAAAATACCATTTGCACATGGTAAAAAGCAACGAATAAGAACATGCAAAGCTCACTATCTATCTATCTGATTCCTAATGTTTACGCCTTTTTCTAATTTAATACCTATTAAATTGAGCAACGGAGAAGTATTATCAAAAAGCCCACAATATCTTTTTTTCCTATTTTACAAGCTTTTTTCATCGCTACATGATCGACATACTTACTATTGTAGTTGAATGGATAATCCTAATTACACGCACCTCTCCAAAACTCCGATATCAACGAAACGTCCGATGTTCCAAAAAGCCTCTCGAGGGATATTACTGGTGATGCCCCCATGGCAAGTCAAGGCCGCTCGACCGTCACATGGCGGCGAGCGCCCGTTCCGTCCTCAACCGTCTCATCCAACGTGCCGCCCGCCCCAAGCGATCCCGCAAGCCCTCCTCCTCTTCTTCCCGCACCGTTATCCGACGGCACCTCGACTCCGGCGACCTCCCAAAGACCATTGCCGCCCTTTCCTCCTCCCCTGCCCCCTTCCCCACCTCCTTGTACGCTCGCCTCCTCCGGCTCTGCTCCTCCAAGCGCTCCCTCGTCGACGTCCGCCGCGTCGAGTCCCACCTCGTCGCCTTCAACCCCTCACCCTCCACCTTCCTCTTGAACCGCACCATCGAGGCCTACGCCCACTGCGGCAGCCCCACCGACGCCCGCGAACTCTTCGACGAAATGCCCAAGCGGGACGGCGGCACTTGGAACGCCATGATCGTTGCCTACCGTTGTTCGGACTGCCCCGACGAGGCGCTTGCCCTCTTTTCCACCATGAATGGGTCGGGCATCCACCCCAAGGATGTCACCTTGGCGTCCGTGCTTGGCTGCTGCGGCGATCTCTTGGCCTTGCTTCTCGCCAGGCAAATTCATTGTCTCGTTTTGAAGTACGGCTATTTTCCGAACGTGATCCTCGATACTTCCGTCGTCGATGTCTATGGTAAGTGCTTTGCAATGGACGACGCAAGGAAGATGTTCGACTCGATCATTGACCCAAATGACGTATCTTGGAACGTGATTGTGCGGCGGTACCTTGAAGCAGGGAAAGCTAGAGAAGCATTGCTTATGTTCTTCCGGATGATCAGAGGAGGGGTCAAGCCTTTGAGCTTTACCGTGTCGAATGCTCTTATTGCCTGTTCTGAGGCCCTTGCGCTCAAGGAGGGGCACCAAATTCATTCAACTGTGATCAAGGCCGGTTTTGAAGGGGACAATATTGTCGGGAGCTCTCTCATGGAAATGTATGCAAAGTGTGGGGTTGTTCAGGATGCTCGTCAACTATTTGGTCAAGTGCCTTCCAAAGATGTTGTCTCATGGACTTCTATGCTCTCAGGTTATGCAACCTGTGGGAGAATAGACGAGGCTGAAAAGCTCTTCGATGAGATGCCTGAAAAGAATGTGGTCTCGTGGAATGCAATGTTGGCTGGTTATGTTCGATTCTTTTGTTTGGACGAGGCGTTGGATCTTTTTTGCAGGATGAGGGAGACTATAGAGATCGACCTTGTTACTCTTGGTTTAGTACTGAATGTTTGTGCAGGAATGTCTGATCTTGATCGAGGAAAACAAGTTCATGGGTTTTCTTATAGGCACAATTCGGGATCCAACTTGTTCTTTAGCAATGCACTGATCGATATGTATTCAAAATGTGGGTGCTTGAGAAATGCTGAGGTTTGCTTCAGGATGGTCTCCCGGCGGGATACAGTTTCTTGGAACTCTTTGATATCAGGATATGCGCGCTATTGCAGGAGTGAGGAGGCATTGGCTGCTTTCAGTGAGATGCAGTTTGAAACTACTCCAAATGAGCTCACTTTCAGCATAGCATTGGCTGCTTGTGCAAATATCTTCATGCTTGAGCATGGAAAGCAAATTCATGCATACATGGTCAGAAATGGTTTTGAGCTGGATGTCATAATTAGAGGAACGCTAGTTGATATGTACTCAAAGTGTCGGTTGATAGAGTATGCCATGAGAGTTTTTGAAGAGGAGAGCTTTCGGGATCTGATCCTTTGGAACTCCATGATATTGGGTTGTGCTTATAATAGGAGAGGTGAGCGCAGTCTTGAACTTTTTGAGGAAATGCGGAAGGAGGGGATTGCAGCAGACAATGTTACATTCGTTGGTGTATTACTTGCTTGTATCAGCGAGGGATATGTTGATCTTGGCCGGCGGTATTTTAATTTGATGAGTGACGAGTATGGTGTCATACCTCGAGTTGAGCATTATGAATGTATCATCGAACTACTAGGCATCCATGGATTCATGGTTGAGCTTGAGGATTTCATTCAACGAATGCCATTTGAACCAACTATCCCGATGTGGACAAGAATCTTCGATTGTTGCCGGGAACATGGAAACAGAAGTTTGGGTGAAAGGGCTGCAAAATGCATCAACAAATCTAACCCAATAAATCCAGTTCAATTTGAGATTCTTGAAAGAACAGAACTGGACACAAAAAAGGAAGCACATCACTTGTAGCCAATACTGTGAGCTACCAGCTCAATCATGAATAATGATATGTCTCCCAAAGCTTATTGCAAAAGGAGGCAGACTGCAATAGCTAATAACTCATGTTGTCTCTCATCAAGGTTGGAGAACTTTGCAACTTATGTAGGATTGAACAGGATCCTGCATACCTGTTGCCTATGAGGAGATTCAACAGTTTGCAAAACATTGCATTATAAGATGTGGCCAGATTTTGTTCAAGGGAGTACAGCTATCATTTTGAAGATAAGGTATTCTAAAAGAAGCCTGAATGCAGATCTTGGAAGCTAGTGGTACTGGTACAAGATAGGGCAAGATTTGGTGTACAGTACAGTCGACTTGGTAAACGCAAAACATGTTGTAAGATGCCCAGATAAAAATGCTAATCAGTTCTTTATCATGTTCTACTGAAGACTATGCTCAGAAGCTTTTTGTTGATCAAAATCAATGTTGCTTACTTCGCTTCTTGCAATTGTTTAGTGAAAGGATAAAGTTGCACCCAGATGCATGAGGGACCATCTAGATTGCAGGAACCTCAATGGGGTGCTTGCAAACAGGAGCCATGAGTCTCTCACCACGATTTTGCTAGCTCTGCCATTCACAGGTTCGAAACTGATTACTGTTGGTGGCCATTGGGCAGAGCCAATTGCTTGCATCATGTTGCACAAGTTTAGCAAATCTGTAAGTTATCATGCAATTCATATGTTATATATGTTTCCATGGTAAATTCTTATCTTGATGCTCCTTAGAGAATGTCTTAGTGAGTTTTTTTTTTTTTGTTGAAGCTATTGACTATTAAATTATAAAGAAAAAGATGTAGCTGGAAAATTATTGTTGTTATGATCCTTCATAATGAACGCCTCTTTCATAGCTGACTTGCATCTGTTAAACAGATGAAGGACATGCATGTGGGTTCTAGTGACAATGCCATCAGTAAAAGGATAGACAGTTTTATAATCACAGTTGATTACTAATTACTGGGAGAAAAAGATGGAGCCATCATTCTATTTTGTAGAAAGAATACAAGGAATGTGCTATTAGGATGTCCTTAATGGATGCCACCTCTGCCAGTTCAGATGGTTGGACATCTGAGAGAAATTTCAGTCGGCTAGGGTATGAACCCCTAGTATTGCAGTCATGTGCATGAAACAATTAGGTCATTTGAGGTGGTGGGGGGGCGTTAAAAACCCAGGGTTGTGGTAATGATTCACCAGAGTTTCCCAAGAGGTCTGGAGAAGTTGACAAAGTTGTTTGAGCTGAAGCAGGACACTCACTGAGAGATTTGATACTGGTGGATGAGGGGCTTGGGGAGGTGTCAAAGGGAGGAATAAGATGATGGGAATTTTCTTCTTTGGACTGTTAATGGAAATAATACACTATAGCATTGGTCTATCAAATTCTTGTCTCGATATTATGTGACAATGTGAGCTATTATTGACTCTGTACAGTTACAGTGTTTCGTTGTGCATGGTATTGTTAGCCCGAGATATGGTACTTGTTCCTTCAGCTTGCAAATTGACATTTTATCAAGTCGTAGCATTCATCTCTTAATGTTGTCATTTTTGTTGATGATAAATGAAATACATAAAAATGATCTCGTTTGTGCAGGAAATATGAACAAATTAATAAGCATAGAGTGGGTTGCCTTACTGTCACGGACTTAGTTGGAATTGTCTAAATCGTAAGGCACTCTTGCGACAAAGTCACGGACTTAGTTGGAGTTGTCTAAGTCGTGAAGCACTCTTGTATCAACTTCTCAAACTTAGCTGGGATTGCCTAAGTCATGAGGCGTCCTTGATATATGCATCTGTAAAGGACGATCTGATTGCAACCTCGTACAGCTCTTGAAGGACCTGTAAAACAATAAATTGATTAGTTTGAAAACGAATGGCGGACAAGTCCCGACGTCTCGCGAAGAGATAAGTTTTACTAGCAATTCAGCGAACACCTTAAGTGTAAGAAAAAAAAAAGAAAAAGGAGAAAACAAGGATTTTAGAAGGTTGAACGAATAGTTGCAAGTCTGTAAACAACTGCTCATCGGGTGTCGAGAGCAAAGGTAAGTTTCCGTCAAGTTAACTTGTAAAGATTGTTCAACACCCAACACTACCTCGAAGCCTCATCCCCCTTGGTGACACCCGGGAGGTTCTAGGATGCTAAGATGGTTGACATTTTACATGCAGCTACGGTATGTAGAAAGCATGTCGTGGTACGTGAAAATGAAATCATTTTGAAATAGTTTTGCCCTACGTAACGAGCGGTCACATTGCAACGTTGCGAACTGTTCGAGCTTATATTTTTACAAGCAAAACACATAAAATCAAGATAAAACATGTTATCAAGAATATGTACAAGTATAGCTTCCAAAATTCCAAGTATGTTCTAGCAGTGTCGTCTGATTCCACAGTCAAAGACGAATCTCATGCTTCTGAGATCAAGTAATGCCAATACCACATGAACTTGAAGAACCCAACCATACATTGGTTTTTCAGATTACATGTATTTTTAACTACTAACAGGGACAACAGCAGCAGCAGCAATTTGATCATAGCCTTATTATTCCTTGTTGATGTTCGCATGAAACCATAGCCAATAGAAATTCTTAAAACAAAGCCATTCAAAGGAAAATTAACCCGAGATATAATGTTATTATACTGTTTTGTACTTATCACAAAACTCATGCCATGACAGCAACAGTCAACAAAGTGTGCCTTATGATTGAATAAGATTGCAATTTTTCTCCAACTCTGCTTACATATTCTGAGTTTTGATTGTTGATGACAGACACAAAGGATTTAGATATGTGCATCACAAATAGCAGTTTTATGCTAATGCAGAAAAGCTGGGAGCACAAATATACTCACTCTCCCATTAGTTGGCACTTCACACACAGAAAACAGAGGCCTGAGATCATCTTCTGCATCGATTTGTGTTAAGCTCGACACCATGTCGAGAGCAGTAAAGGATGCAGATTCTTAGCCATCACTGCTGTAAGATTTGTCTTTTGTCAAGTTTTAATCCGTTGATGGGTCCAGCACAACAATCTTCGGCCGCTTGCTCCGCTCGTCGCTTCGACGAGACGCTTCGTCTTCATCGCTGTCATCGTCTGTGTCAGATGAGCTGCTGCTGCTGCTGCTACTGGAGGTTGCGGACGGCCGAAGGCCGCACATGGTGGCCTCCGCCGCTGCCACGGCTTCGGCGGTGCGAAGGTCGGCGACGCCAAGGAGCAAGTCCATCTCGATGTACTCCTTCTCGTTCCCACTGAGCACTTCCACGTCGTGGTCCGGGCGGGAGCTCGACTGCACCTCGTGCTCCAGCTTCTCGTTGGCCTCCGCCATCACTCCTAGGAAGTCCTTCACCTTTTCCAGAAATTGGCTCTGGGGAACAGCGGCGGTGAGAGGTTTCGGTTCCGAACCGCCGATCACGGAGGCGGCGGCGGCGGCTGGGGGTTTGCGGCCTCGGGTTACGCGCGCGGGTTGGTCGCCGCCCACGAGAAGGCTTTCGGGGAAGGAGGGCTTTGACGGCTGATCCAGGAGCACTTTGCTGCTCTTCGCCGCCATTGCTGCGACTTCGGCTTCCTCCCTCGTTCCTGCCTTCCCTGCCTTATATAGGTTTTGGGAACCCTAGTTCGATGGAAAGCGGTAACGCGTCCTCTGTAGCGGGCGACGGAGTCGGGTTGAGATCCGATAAGTTCTGGGGGTCTGATCCTGTGATGACCTGGAGAAGGCACAACAAGGTTTCTAGCGGGGGAGTTTTCAGGGCTGATACGCTCTCGAAATCATGAGTGCGCATATGATGATCGATTTACACTTTTAAATGCGTGTACAAACAGCTTGTAATGTACGAGTAAAGAGTATTATATTATATACTTCTCCCATATGGATAATTATACTTCAAAGGGAGAATAATTTCTGAGTGCTTCCACCTAAATTGCATGCCTTGGGAAATTACTTTGGAAGAAATTGACCAAGTAATTCATCTTTAAAATTAGGAAATGCCTTACTAATAAATAATAATTGTCTTACCTCTTCTAGGTACATCTTCAAGCCTTCTTAACTCTCATTGCACATACCATTGTTTTTACCCATTTTTATACTTTATCCAAGTTAAACAGATAACTTAGCTGCGGACAAATGAAAATATTTCTTAATTCACATCCAACATTTTTATCTCAACAATATAAAATTTTAGTATATATACTATATTTTAAACATATAACACACATCTATAAAATTTTCTTTTAATCTAGAGAAAAATACTGAGTGATCACACAAGACTTCTAACTTTCTTTTTCACTTTTAGTCTAATTTTTATTTTATGAATAATATCCTCAATAATTTTTCATCTTGTTGAGTAATCGATAAAAGATATCTAAAACTTTTAAATTTTTGAATAAATAAATTTATTAAAATAAAAATTGATTATCCTAAATATCGAGGAGTCAGAGCCAACCTTCGTTTGAGTTCATCACAAGTTTAGTGTTAAGAGATGAGTAAATTGGGTAAGGAGTCATAAAAAAAATTATATCGGAAGCATTTTCAACAATACTCTTTGACTTGGAAAGAAGAGTGATGTAGAAATCATATGTTTCATAGAGCTCTACATAAGTTAGCGTACTTGGGCCCTTATATAGAGAGCGTTGGTAATTGTCGAGATTAAATGGAGTGTTATCCAAGAGAGCAATTTTACAGTTTACATATGTAGATAGTGATGCATCTTACTGATTCTATCATGTTCAGCAGCTAGTCTTACTGAGGTATAGCATGCTACCAATGTAATCTTTTATGTTATTTCTTAACTATATTTCTTAGTCTTAGTTGCAATGGATATGTCTAGATAGGGTCAGCTTAAATGCAACCATGCAATATTCGTAAAAAAAAAATAGTTGATTAGTTATAAAGATTAATTGTCACACACTTAACTAATTTTACCTAAATCATGTGACACTCTTATGAATCTATAGGCCAATCTCTCTATAATCATGCTGGGTCTCCTAAAGATATGTAAAAGATAAAACATGTTAGTGAAAGTGTTAACTTAAGATCCCATCGATAGATATTTCAATAAATAATTGATAGATAGCTCAAAAGATAAAAATATGCTTCACAAGTTCAAAACGATCACACATGGCAAAAAAAATCCAAAACAATCCATCATGCACTAAAGTCCCAACAAATTAGTGTCCTTATAACACCGGGGAAGTTTGCCCTCCATGCAACAATAGCATACAAGTTACATTTATAAGATAGAGATAACTATAAAATGCTAGTTATAGGTACCATACAAGTTAATCACGTGAGTAAGGACACGTGTGATAACTATAATACACTTTTTTTTTACTTATTATATTTTAACATTTTATCACTTAATATATGTATATATGTATATATATATATGTATATATATATGTATATATATATATACATATACATATACATATTTATATATATATAAATATATTGATGTTTATGGATCTATGCAATGAGAATCGGATCATGATGAGATTATGATAATAAGATCGATTCGCCTTTAAACATAGACCCTAAATAATCCTGGTCATATGTTACTCAAGAGAGACATCGAGATAACCAGATAGACTAGTGTGCTATATACCCGTCTATATGATGGAGGCAATTGATCTCATAGCTACTCGTGTGGGGACACTAAGAACTCATTGGAGAATGAGTTCACTGATTGATCCGCTCACGAAATACTAGATGGTTGATGATGCCTTATTGTCAGACAGCGATTCCGTAGTCCCAGTAGTATATCTGGTCCTTAAACTTAAGACCCCAAGGATGTCTTGTATGAGTACTCCACTCTTTGATATCATACTTATAAGTTTAGAAGTTTCAGATCTAGTACAGCCGGTTATTGAGAGTGGCAACCAACCTTACGAGGGCTATTGAGTATCGATAGAGAATCATCCACTCTCGGTATCATGAGAGGAATATCTTGTGTATTCTTGCTCAAATAAATCCTTGGCCAAGGTAATTCAGATTGAGAGATAAAAAGTTCTTCAGGAGAATCTGATTAGAGCGAGACTCGAGAAGAAACTATTTGGGCCTGACAGCACCATGCCCGCTATATGGTCTATAAGATATTAGATGGATGAGGGACTATAGGTACATGGTAACTGAAGATAGATAGATCCAAAGGATTGAATTTCTCTATATCATTTTGGGATTGTGGTATAGTGGCCTAGTACATCCACAGTCGATGAATTGAGTGAATTATTATAGAGATAATAATTTACTGAGCCAGAAGAAGTTATGACAGATATGACTCACGGCTAGCTCGATATTGGAACTAGAGGGTCACACACATATATTAGCTCTTATTGGATCTCATGAATGAGATCCAATAAGAGCTAATAATATATTATTGGATAGAGACTCACTAATGTAAGAGGCTTAGGTAATTGGATGGAGATCTAGTACTCAATAAGGCAGGATCCATTAGGGTTAGCTGGGGGCCTCTCTATAAATAGGAGAGAACTAAAGGTACATAGGCTGGGGCTTCTTAGTAGCCACCTCTTATTCTTCTCTCCCCTTCTTCTTCTTAGATAGTAGGCATGGAGATTTAAGGAGTGTCATTGTAGCTTTACTGTGTGGATCATCGTTAGAGAGGATGATGCTTAACCTTCTTCATCCACTCCTATAGATCTATAGGGATTCAGAGATATACAATCTCCCTAAGTAACACAACTGTCTCACATGTGATTTTTTGTATTGTGGATTTTTGCACACCAATCTACGCACGACGATGAACACGAATTGGGAAATTAGGGATTTTATTTTTATGTTCTTCCATTGCACATGTGATATCGCCCCTAAATTTTTCAACATAAAATCCAATCCAAATGGGAATGCTAAGCCTATTAGAAGTCCTTTATATATTACAAAAGGCATTTATGAACTTGAAAAGCATAACCAATACATCAAACACCTTCCCAATGAATAGTTTATGACATTTTCTCCATTTATTCCTTTGACATCTTCGTTGAAGCTTTTACCGATGCATCATCTCCTCACCTTTGTCATATCAGTCCAATGTATTAGCTATAATACACCTCTTGCTCTCAACCATTCTCTTGATGTTGTAATTTAAGCAATTCAAATTTTGATCCACAAACATTGCTTCAACTCGTTAGTAACTTTGGCTCTTATATGGGGACAGTGAGTTATGCTAATCTTCACCAACACATCCTTCGGTTGAAGGAAAAGAAATGCATTATTGTCCACTAGTACCTCAAACATCTCATGTCAACTAAATTGGATAGATGTTTGTCGGAACTTTAAAAAGTATCACCTTACAAAATTTAAAGTTTTAGCGGCATTTTTCTTTGTAAAATTTGTCAATCAATTCCTCTTCTACTTGATCGTTACCTCAAAGTAGGTTCATATCACCTTGACTTTCCACTACCACTATGTTGGAAAATAAAGCAAATAAGCTACCTTTAGTAGAACTGATCATTATTAGTAAGGACTTAATAGCTATCATATGTCAGTAAGTCTCTTTAAAGGGTCTTAAAAAATGTACATGGCTCCTTTGCTAAATAAATAAGAGAATTTGAGTACTTGATTTTACCTATTCTCTTAAAAGTTGAGAAGACTAAGATTACTTAACTTCTTTCACCTCCTCAAGAGTTGTACTTTATGCAACATATTAGTTACTAGTATTGGTTTGCTCTTTGCTCATACTTATGTAGTACTTAAAGTGTTACACTCCTTCCACTGATTTAGCTATTATAATTCATCTTTTTATTATTGACAAACTTTCGGAATGCAGAAAGCATTGTTTAAAAAAAGTAAAATTTCATCACAACTCAAGCAAGTTTTTGTATTGGATTATATTATCCCTAAGATTGAATCACCTACGCCGTCGTTTTTGTTACTTCTTTGAGTAGAAAAGAGTATAACACTATGTAATACCTATTTTATTCCTTGGCCAAGCATTATTGTGTCAACCCAAAGTCCCCCACTTCTAGGTATCTTGATGAGAAACTCTTCAACACGTCTTATAAAGTGTCATGGATATTACCCATTTGCTTGATGTTTGTATTTGAAGTTTTCATCTCCTCAATCCACTTTATAACTATGTACTTTCTCCCTGTAAAAGCAAAGGATGGGTGGCTCACGGAAGTCACCTTTATAGTACCATGGTGCTCTCTCATGCCCTCAATTATACTATTCATTATCTTATATCCGGATCCTTTTTCATGGTAAATCACCATTGTGATATTATGGTACTCCAATTCTATCTCCATTATAACTTATATTTGATTTTGGATAGCTGAGTCACTTTGGATTCATCTTTACTTCCTTGCCCCATTTAACTACTTGTTTCGGTACTTTGATATTCTCCAAGTAGTTCACCTTAATCAATGAAAAGATAAACTACATCCTTGTATTATTTTTATTCTCGTTTGTGTCCATGGTAGCAATATTCACTCGTTCAACCTTGTCCATAGATTTGTCGAGCTCCCTCGAACTAATATGAGCTCTAGAATAGTCCATTCTTTAGCAACTCTGATTATACCTATGGATGATCAAGTTTCTCATAGGACTTACTAGTACTTATGCTTGGAAAATTTATCTCTAGAGTATGGCCCACCATTCACCAATATCCAAAATTTTTATCTGATGTAAAATTTGGTGCATGCATGGAAGATTCGTTTATATAGTATCATGACATTCACTCCTAGAATTCATAATTCTTCTTATC